GGGGGGGGGCAAGGTCAGCCCATAGGGTCAGGAATAATGACTGTTATGCCAACCTCATAGTAAGAAGCAATTAATACTACAGATATTTTTATGCCTTTAAATCAATTTGCACAGCTAAATGTAAGCTATAAATTTCACAAATTATGGGTTTCTACAACTTTGGACAGTTTGGACCATCAAAGTGACTCACATATATATAAAATAATTACCAAGTGCATCTTCAAATCCAGTTTCAGTTTCTACCAACCAACATATCACAAACCATTAAAAATGGAACACTGTTAAAGTTACACATTAGTCCAAATTATTATATCTCAAAACAACAGCTGGGTATCAACAGGTGCTCACATAAAAGCAGTACAAGTTATGATATAAACATAGAGAATAAACAACCTAAGTATGTGGGTCACAAACAATATGAGTAACTGCTTAACATTGTCATTCATGAAAATATTCCTTTTCTGTATACAAAGCACTTCCCAAATATGTCAAGCCAATGTAAAGAAAATGTAAAAAAAAACCCCACAAACAACAAAAACAACAACAGGACTTCTAGCAGTGTGCAAGTCAGCGAAAAGTGATTGCAACTGTTTGCTGCTTTAAACACCTTCAAACTGTGAACTTCAGATAAACAACTGGCTTTAATTAAGGCTACCTCATGAACACATGTATTTTTTTTATACAGACAATTCCAATTGTGTTTTTGAGAAATAGTTCTTTTTACATCAAGACACCAAAAATATCTCAAGCACTGCCAATGCCATGACGAAAGAAATGAAGAAACTTCAGCCAAGATAAACCCCATAAACTATAAAACAATAACATCAGAAAAAGGTGATAAAGGTGCACAAATTTTATGCTGCGAGACAAACTCTGTTTGTCTTGTCCATGTGTGAAAACAGAAACTGAGCTTCCAAAAACCTTATGAAAATGAAGTTTTGAGAAAGTAGCTGTTCATTGCTTGGTTCTGGGTCACTGTGGTCACTTTCTTCAGGAAAAGCAGGAAAAGTTTCAGTCTTCTGCTTCAGTACAAGCGGGTTTTTGTCCTTACAGTCTTGTTGTGGAAAATCTGAAGTGACAGATTAAAAAAAAAAAAAGACAACAACAACACATGTTTCAGAAATTACAAGGTAATCTTAACCATTAGCAGGTACCACATGATAAGCATGTTGCTCAGATATACCAATGAAAGGCATGTTGTGGGGAGAAGCTGTTTTGCTGACTAATTTAAAACCATTTTGGCTGCTCATTTACAAACTCTATGAAAAACACTCTTCTTCTGTGATCGATTTAACTTTGGAATCGTACATTTCTCAAGTGATTTAAACTCTTGTGATGAATCACAAATATGTGATATCAACTACAGACCATCTACAGTGAGAAAATACAGACAATATACAATCAAACAAAACAACAAAATGTTGTCATTTAAAAATTAAAGTGCAGAAAACATTTAACAGTTTACTTAAAATTTACAGGACACTCACTACAGTATTTATGTATTTTTTAGATTAATTATCCATTGCCTGATTGGTTGGGAGAATGGGAGGTAGAACCTTCACCTTTCAGGTCCCTCTTCTGTGGAAACAGCTGCCAGTATGGATTCAGAAGACAGAAACCCTCTCTAGTTTTAAGATTAGGCTTAAAGATTTCCTTTTTGATAAAGCATACAGATATGGCTGGATGAGGTGACCCTGATTAGACTTAGGACTTGCCAAAATTCATGACTGTTTCTTCTACTCACAACACCCTGTGTTTACAAAAAACACAGCCATGCAAATAACCTGTTCTTTTGTCAATTGGCCAAAACCAAGAAGGAAAAGAATTACATGTTTAGTTAACTTCCTGTTATTAAATTTGATATTCACTGTAAGTGCGCCTGCAGGTGCAGGAGCGCAGCACAAACGAAGGAGCGATGACTGCAATTCGTTGGGCTCATTTCTAACAATTTTTACCAACATAGGACAGTCTTGCAAGGGGGGCCACTGGGAAGCTAGAAATTTTGGCTTTTGGAATCAGTCAGTTTCCTTATTTCAGTTGGTCTTTAAATTTTTCATGTGCCTCTATTGGGGCTGCAACGATTAGTCAACTAGTCACGATTACGTCGACTTTAAAAGTCAACAACTAATTTAATAGCAAAGCGTCGTTTGAAGCTTTGTAAGATCCTGAAAGATGCAGGAAAAAGTAGGATTTAAGAGTGTAATAACGGACTGAAACAAAAGAAAGCAGCAATGCATCTACAAGGACACCAGCTGTCGTTAAGTCTGGGAGCCTTCTGAGAAAATAAAAGAGAAGAATTTCCAATGCAAAATCTCCAAAATGGAACAGCACTTCGATGGCAGTACGACAGTGATTCACAAGCATCTGAAAAGGAAGCATGTGGCGGCTTCTGACGACGAAGTGGTACAGTCGTCTCAGTAAGGTAATTGGCTAGTTAGCTGCTAATATTAGCGTAAACAGTGAGCTACTTACTCATATTGGTTTCCTGCTTTAGTGAAAGCTGCTCTTCTTCCTGATTGGTGGAGATTTCCTCTTGTTCATCTTTAGTCTGTGGAGGATCTGTGTCCTGCTGGTCCAGACTGGAGTTCCTCTCCTGGCTACAGACCTGCGGGTCATCCAGATCCTCATTTTCCTTACAATCATGTTGCTGTGGGAGGTCTTGATGGACACAACACAAGAAAGAAGTTACACTGTGAGCAGGTCTCTCAGATATGTGAGCGATATTTAAGGTGCACAAATGTTTTAAATATTATCTCTCATGCGGTGAACAGCAAAGAATTCTGTTTACATGCAGAAAGTCATCATTTATGAGGCGTAAAGCTCGCTACTCCAACTTGGTCCATGTGGCCAGTTATGCACATTTTTCATTGTCTTAACATTTTCCTACATTCTGCATACAGTTCTGGGCCAACATGACTTAAATCTATATTGTGGAAAATTTTTTTTTTTTTTTTAAACAAACAGAAGATTTTAAATCCAGTTTTTATTTTACTGTGCTAACAGAAAACATGTCTTCAGTAAGGTAGTATGCCAGGCGGTAATGCACGTGTCTTTGTGATGTCATCACCTGGCCTTTTGATATAAGTCATATTCACTTCGGTATTATGAAGTCTGTATATTACAGATTCACATACCTATTCTGCTCAGCCGTAATCCAGGCTTACACAACAAATCCAGCTGTTCTCCAGTCCAGACATTAATCCCTTCATCCTCCTACTTCAGTTCAAGCTGCTCTCCTTCCTCACTGCTGTGGGTTTCCTCCTGTTCCTCTTTAATCTGTGGAGGCTCTGGGTCCTCCTGGTTGAGACTCCTCTCCTGGTCAGTGACCTGCTGATCATCCAGACCTTCGTGTTCAACAAAGGGACACAAGAACATAGTGACTAATGTGATGATAAGAAAGATCAAGAAGGATTAAAAGGGGTCACCTATTGAGAATTTAGCTTATGGTTTCAAGGGCTCTTGCATTCTTGCAGATGTTGCCACAGAAACATTCAGTCATAGTCATTTGTTCATTGGGTGATGTTGATAACCTTACAGCTGTCTGGGATCTAATTTTTAGATGTGACTGCCAGTGATCATCACACACTGTGAATAAACAAAGAAATGAACAGCAGCATGATCTGAATATGATCATGAAAGCAGTTAAAGTATGCCGTTGATACTAATCTTTTAACATTTTACTAATAAATATACACTCACTGGTCACTTTATTAGATACACAATGCTAGTACTGGATTGGAGCCCCTTTTGTCCTCACAGCTGATTTAATTCTTTGTGAAGATTCAGGAAAGTGATGGAAATATTTCTCAGATATTTGTGGTCTATATTGACCTGAATGCTTCACACAACTGCTGCATATCTGTCAATTCCACCTCCATGATGCAAATCTCATGTTCCACTACATTCCAAAGGTGCACTGTTGGGTTGAGAGCTGGTGACTCTGGAGACCCGAGTACAGGAAACTCACTGTCATTTTAAGGGCACTGCATATATTCTCTTTTTTGGATTACTCTCTGTAAATCATACAGATGTTTGTGCTGGAATATTTAAGCAGATTAGAAGTTTCTGAAACACTCAGACCAGCCAGTGTGGTACCAACACCCAGCATACCATATCTCAACATTTCTGGCACCCAGTTTTGCCTTTCTATTTCTTGATCACCTGGAAGAACTAAAGAGCTAATTTTATATTACTACTACAATAGCACTTTCCTCCCACTTATTACGGTATATAGATTATGTACAAGTTACTTCATTACTGGAGTTTGTAGAATCCTTAAATGGACATTTTGCAAGTTTATGTTTTATCCTTAATTGCAATACTAAAGAAATTAACTTCCTTGACAAAAAAGTAACAAAAAAGAGAAATCGCTGTACCTCTCTGTACCCCCAAACCTACTGGAATACATTACATTGCAAAACAAAAGAAAATGCTGCACTGATTAAAATAACTCTACTGTAACTGTGGGAAAGTTTTTGCAGAGTATAATTTAAAAAATCTAGCACTAGGTCTGGGTCATGGAAGTTTCCATCCTAGCCACCTCAAAAAAAGCTTACCTGTAAGCCAATTGATTAGCCTTAAACGTATCTGTGAAATTCCAGAACAATACTATGATCAAGAAACCTCCAAAACATAAATCAAATCTTGTCTTCTAGACAACTTTTACACAAACACCCAGGAACATTAAAGAAATCATTTTAAAACATTGGTATAACCTTCAAAGTGATCCAAGCTTATCATTAGGGATTTTTAAAGAACCGCCAATGATAACTTAAGAGAGGTAAAAACATAACAGATAGGCTTGTCAGAGCTTCATTTTTCTTTTAATGTTCCTGTAGGTACTGTATTTTTTATATTAACTTGTTTGCAGGTTTCTGTGTACTTTTTTAGCATGTATTACATTAAGACATGCAGTGATTTTTTACATTGGGGTGATCGTAGCTCAAGAGTTGGGAGGTCGCCTTGTAATTAGAAGATTGCCGGTTCAAGCCCCGGCTTGAACAGTCTCCGTTGTTGTGTCCTTGGGCAAGACACTTCACCCGTTGCCTACTGGTGGTGGCCAGAGGGCCCGGTGGCGCCAGTGTCAGGCAGCCTCGCCTCTGTCAGTGCGCCCCAGGGTGGCTGTGGCTACAATGTAGCTTACCATCACCAGTGTGTGAATGGGTGGATGACTGGATGTGTGAAGCGCTTTGGGCTCCTTAGGGACTAATAAAGCGCTATACTAATACAGGCCATTTATCTTTTCTCCCCTTTTAATCTGTAGTGGCTCAGTCCAGAACCTATTTGGGCTGTGGCTTAACCAATTTACCAATACCAACCTGTTAAATGATAATTGGTCAACTGCTTTATTTGTGAAGCTGTGATTGGTCTAATTGGAGATTCCTTTTCTGTTTCCTGATTTTTATTTAAACACAAGCCATTTGACATTTTGCAATGACGCTGATGAAGACTACAAACCGCGTTGGTCACTAAATAAAGCTGTTCCCTATTACTTTACATGTCACTGGAGTTTAACTCACCAGAGCCTCTATCCACACACTCCGAATGCCTCTAAAGATCCTCGGGAATTGTCCACATGTCCACATGCCCACATGAATCCCGCGATGATCCCGCAACCCCCACATCTCCACAAATTTACACAACTGTATTGTGTGACTTTATCCCGGGTCTGATATCAAGCAGTCTTAGCTGACGGATCTCCTCCTCATACCGGACGATCGTCTTTTCAAACTCTGAGAAGATTTCTTCTGCAGCAGAAGTTAATCTCTCCTTGATAACCTCTCTCAGATGCTGAATTTAAGACATTATTGCAACAACAACCGATACCGCCAAACCAACGTCTTCAAACATAACTCAGGATTGCGATAGAATCTCTCAATGGCGCCATTGCCACTATTCTTCTTCTGTTGTACTTACGGTAGACTGGAGGTGTCAAAGGCGTAATACTGCCCTCATCAGGTCAGTCCAACAAAAATCAATTCCTGACAAAGTCTGGAGCTTTGCAGAAACCTGGATAAAGAATTTATCGTTCCCAATTATTCAAGTTGAGAATTAGCTGTAATGCCCATCTCTGACAATTCATTATGCTTAAGGTGTCTTACTGCAGACCATCAAAGCATGCTTAACACTTTACATGCCTCACACTCACATTGTTGCTTTATTTTCATCACAGCTGCAGTAAAGTAAAGATGCTTTATTGGCAAGGGTAGACTTTTCTTTTCCCTAATTTCCTTCGGGATTAATAAAGTATTCTGATTCTGATTTTCTCCTCTCCATCCTAAAAGCCATTAATACGGTTCATGCAGTAGCTGCGTCCAGAGACAATAGTCCCCAGATTCTTTAGAACATAGGTGTCAAACTCTGGCCCACGGGCCAAATTTGGCTCGCAGCCTAATTACATTTGGCCCGCGAAGCCATACCAAATTATTATTAGAGCTGGCCTACCGGTATTATACAGCTAATATATATATTGTTTAGTATTAAGCTTTGCTTGTTCCATATTCAGTTTTTCAGCAAAACTTGTTTGAGTCCATAAGAAGAGATTCATTCTTAAATCTGGAGGAAGATCTTTTTTTCAATAAATATTAATGTTAGCCCGTGACCTTGTTCCAGTTTTAAATTTTGGCCCACTGTGTATTTGAGTTTGACACCCCTGCTTTAGAAGATCCAAACAGATCAAACAAGAAAAGGTTTCTTGGTTCAGCTGAACTTCCTTCTGCACCACTTCTATTCTTAGTATCAGTTATTGTGTGAGTCTCTTCTTTATAACGAAAACAAAAGGTGACGCATTTAGGTCCATGACTTAAACTGAAAAGCAAGTGTCATAGTGAAAATCAGAATCATTATTCAACAGATATAGTTCTATTGTTTTTAAGATCCATGTTTTTTGTTGTTTTTATGGCATTTTGATTTTACCTTTCCTTTTGACATACTTTACTAACACAGTTTCAAAATCAGACAAAAAAAAAACAAACAAAGAAAAACATAAAATCAGAGTACGAAAAAGTTAATTTTTTACTGTAAAAACCACAAACATGTTTAACAAATAATTTTCTTAACTTGGAATGCAAATAGAAATTGTATGTTTTAAAAACTTATGCACAAGTTTTGCAAACAACAAAGTTATATGCAACTATTTACCTAAAAATACAGCCAATGCCACATACATTTTTAAACCATTTTAAATTATTTAGAGAGCAATCAGGTGTTTTGCATCAAATAGGATTCCACAAAAGTTATTTGTGCCACTCCAAAAAACAGTTTCCGTCCTCTGTAAGACTTAGTAAAACATCACAAGCCTGATACCTGCAGGCCTGAAAGCAGGAGGTGTATCACTGCTATTTTCCACCTGGATGCACACACACACATGTACGAATACACATACATCCATAAATATTAAATATATGTAAATATGTAATATGTATGTAATATGTAAATATATGTATATATACATATGCATACACATATCCACACATCCATACATGTATAAGTTGCATTATGCTTGAGGTGGTTTACGGCTGAGGTCAACTTTGGGCTGTCAAAGTGACTCATACATATAAAATAATTACCACGTGCATCTTTCGCCAGTTTCTACCAACCACATATTACAAACCTTTCAAAATGGAACACAACACTATCAAAGTTAAACATTAGTCCAAAATATTAGATAATAACCAATGTTGGAGAGTAACGGAATACATGTACCAGCGTTATGTATGTAAAATACAAAATATGAGTAACTGTATTCTGTTACGGTTACCATTTAAAAAGGTGATATTTAGAATACAGTTAGTTTGTTGAAATAAATGGATTACACAGCTGTTTTGTCCTGTTTCATATGTCAGGCTATCCCCTAAATATTTTTGGTAATTCCACGCTGGTGGAAACCCAAACAAGACTAATGCCTGGGTCTCAAACTCTCGTGAGGGAGGGAGAAAAATGAGAGTCGAAAAGTACGAGGTGCTACCAACAAGAAATGAGAGACTGAAGCATGTATGTCTGTGAAGGTTCTCAGTCATCCAGGTCATCGTAGTCAAAGGAGCTGCAAAGAAAAGCGTCTGGACTTCTTCAAGTTACTTGAAGACGTTTCACCTCTCATCCGAGAAGCTTCTTCAGTTCTAAGGTCAAATGGTGGGGAGTCCCAGATTTAAACCTAGTGGGAGTAACCCCCCACAGAGGGACAAAAGGACCCTCTGGGACCCTCCTTTGACTGAAGCATGTAAATATAATAATAACCACTGCAGCCAAAAAGAGTGCCTGACGAGCCCAGTTGTAAGTAAGCTATTAAGACTCGACTGTACACCGTGTTCGTGTTTTCCTCCGAAACAATAAGTTCCATTGGA